AACCAACAACCACCACTGGCATCAGTATATGACTGTGAATAGATTTCCAAAATCGTTGTATTTGTGTTCTGCTCCTCCCCTCACGAGAGCACGCGAATCACGTTTACTTTGATGGGTCAGGCGAACTATGGCGTCCTGTTACGTAAATTCATGTATCTTAGCTCAGGGTTAGTTACTTTTTGGCTTCATTGGAGAATTAAGTTCAATCATGTGGTGAATTTCGCCGTGTACGGAGCAAACGAAGCGTGAACTGGAAAGCTAGGAAGCTCTGTTGAACTGTTTTGACCTGTTGCACTTAACTCACATTTACTTGTGAGTAGTGATGTGGGTTAACATATATTGATTTGAACTGACCATCCTTCGAACTTCACCTTCACGCGCAATCCTCAGTTCATCCAGTCAGCAATACACTCGGAAGCACTAAACTCAAGTTTCACTCTTATTAGAGCTCATCAGTAGTGCATATCCATCGTTCCGTCCGCGCCTTGAACCCTGGACCCACTGTATGGAGGCGTGTATGCTACCACTGTGCCAACCAGCTCATACCAAGGCTAAACCGAATAGCCGATTCATGGTTGTTCGTACAAAGAAAACAAATTCTGCTAGGTGCAAGCATTACAAATTATTTTCTCCGCTACTCACATGATACTTGTCCATTTTCACACCATAATAAAGGAAAGGGCAAATGAGCGCAAATTTTAGTAAGCTAGTCTTGTGACTATCATAAACCGGTTGAAAGAGGTTCAGGTTCAGCAAGTACCAATGAAGGGAAACACTGTGTGCTGTCACGCCTTGTCAGTTGGTAATTCGAAGGTAACTTAGTCTCGACAGCTATACGCACGACATGGACAGAGCACTGCTATTTGCGGCAGAATGAGGTTAAAAAGTAGCAGTGCGTATCAACAAATGGTACGAATCGTGGTTCTAAAATCACACAGTAATAAACAGGAAAAGCAAATAACGGCTAGGGGAGCAAGCAAATTACACGGCAGCGGTAGTAGTCCGTGACAGCAATGGTAGGAACAAGGTCTACGCGGCAGATAGCTACGTCATGCACCCGGTTTATCTTCCAATATTCAGTTGAATAAACTTTTGCGAAAAACTAATCATATATACTTAGCGGCACGCGTTTTTGAACAATGAAAAATTGCTGTTTGTCTTTAAAAGCAGCGTATAGTTTTGCATCAAGTCTGATAAAAAACTGTCGACTTGTAAAAACCAAATAAAGTGAGAAAGGTCACGTCATGTATCACGAAATCACCGGTTTAACCAAACCGGCAAGCAAAAGGTTGAAAAATATGTGTGTTAATTGCAGAGTAATCATTAATTTTATCAAATCTAGTCCACTGACGTCTGAGGGCAGCATTCATTCGAAGTAATCTAAATCGTTCATGACAAGTGATCAAATGTAGTCAGTTTCTTGTTGTGTCTCACCATTCCGGAATTCGAAAAAATGAGTACCTTCCATAAGGTGCGAAATAGCATTTTAGTCAATAGTATACAATTTTGAGTATTATGCAGAGTCGTATGGGCTATTTCGAGAAAAAATTAACGGTATCGTGACTTCTGTTACTGTCCTTTTTCCCATCAAGCTTTAGCCAAAACCCGCAATCTTTTAATCTCGACCCATAATCCTTTAGCTAAAACCCGAAATGCTTTAGCCAAAACCGTAGTCCTTGAGCCTCAACGCACAAAATTTAGCCACGACGCAGTAGGCAAGTCGGATAAAAAGTATCGGTATATTCTGAAGTCAACGAATGTTTAAAAAAGTTATTTTCTATAAATGTTGATGCTACAAAGCTTGGTTAAGAAATAAGGTGTGAGGGTTGCATGCCGCAACACATGTGGATTGGATAAGGTTTAAACGATGTACTCGTATCGTCAAATCATTTGACACATCTCGTACAGCTTCAGTGTTTCTGTATTACAGGCGATACTCCTAGGATTAAAAATCCCTCTAGAATACATTTTCCCAAGAAGCGTTATACAAAACCCATAATAGTTAAGCCTGGACGGTGGTAATTATGGCATATGTTGCAGCGTTAATAAACTCAAAGATTTATTATGGGAATAACTTACAAGCTCATGCTTTTCTGGTCCCATAGGTTCGTGCGGTGGAGTAAGAAACAGTGATACCTACAATTCTTTGTGTAAAATGTCACGTGATACGTGCGTTTTCCACTGCTTCACGCAGCTTCACTTGTGTTGGAACGTAAGATGTGCTAGTGTTTCATCGAGCCTCAGTTTGAAAGACTCAATGCTTGGAGCACAGACGACGTAGGATGATAGGATGGTTGATGATCGTTGTGAGGGTGAACGTTTACGAGCGATTTATTATCCTCAGAACGTTTATGTATCCTCTTCTGGTGATGCAAAATAATGTACCGTTTGGGTTACAATTGAGCTTTTTACTCCTAGGAGTATCGCATATTATCCGGAAACACTGAAGCTGTAAGTGATGTGTTAAAATGGTTTCACGGTGCGGGCAAATCGGTCAAACCTTCTCCAANNNCTGCAACATCAACATATGTAGAAAATAATTTTTTCAACATCCTTTGACTTCAGAATATTCCGATACTTTTTGATCGGACTCGCCTACTGCGGTGTGGCTAAATTTTGTGCGTTGAGGCAAAAGGACTACCGGTCTTGGCTGAAGCATTGCGGGTTTTGGCTAAAGAAATGTAGGTCAAGGCTAATGGAATGTGGGTTTTGGCTAAAGCATTTCGGGATTTGGCCACAGGATTACGGGTTGAGGCTAAACGATTGCGGGGTTTTGGTTAAAGCTTGATGGGAAAAGGAGTAGTTCCCGTAAGATATTATTTCTTGCTGTTTAGCGGAACCGTTTTGGCTGTGCTTTTATTGATTCTACGGTTGTGGATTATTTTCATGTAGAAAGGTGGCCTTTAAACTCTCTATTATAACGGCAAACGCGATTGTTCAAAAGACTAACACAACGTGAGAAAAATTTTGTGGATGTTATTACTAACAGCATCGGATAACCTTTTCTGCACGATTTCTACTGATGCATCTACTTCAATGCAAAATCGCGTACTGGTGACATTGTAACCGTAACATTTTTCACAATGCTAGTACATCTGCATTGTTGTTCGTAGTAATCTATGCTATACTAATCTATGCTTTCCATCNCGAGTGAATCCGCTGCAACTTCGATTGAATGCACCAACTATGTTCTATAACTGTTCAATTACAAGTTAATCCAACCCATGACACTCTACTAGGAACTCCATAAAGTGACTGATGCTTTAACCTTCACTCATCGATCGTACCGGGTCTATTAAAACCCGGTTCAGTTGAAATGAACTGATCTCTCCGTGGACAAACAAAAGTACAGTCAATCTCCTGCTATGTCGCACCCGTGAGAAGTCGCATTTTCCAATATCTTCCCACTTTTTCGAAAACCCAAACCAACCATATGCTTACTAACGTAGTTCCTGACTATGCGATGTCGCATCCCTCATTATG